AGAATTGGGAGTCAGATTCAAAAAGGAACAAAATATTATTCCACAACATGACACAAAAACTGTAATTTTACTGGAGAAAATAGTTGAGTCCCAGTTGAAGGGCTTCCTGGAGGGTCACGCCATCTTAGAGCTAATCCAATCTGGCTTTAAACCTCTCCATAGCACTGAAACTGCCCTGCTGAAGGTCTTTAATGACATTTTCTTAACCACTGATACCGGTGATTCTGTGTTGCTTGTCCTGTTGGACCTCACAGCCGCCTTTGACACCATTGACCATGAGATCCTCATTGCTAGGTTGGAGCAGTGGGTGGGCATCACAGGGTCAGCCCTCAATTGGTTCAGATCTTACCTCGCTGACAGATCCTTTTGTGTCTCCATCAAGAATTTTAGTTCTGCAGCGGCAGAGCTTAAATGGGGGGTTCTGCAGGGGTCCATCCTGGGTCCCCTCTTATTCTCTTTATACCTGCTGCCGCTTGGTGCTATTTTCCGGAAACACAACATGCCCTTCCACTTCTACGACGATGACTGTCAAATTTACTTCCCCCTAAGACACAATGGCACATGCTCTATTCAACCTCTGCTCGACTGCCTGGCTGACATCAGGGACTGGATGGCTTTAAATTGCTTAAGTTTCAATGAAAAGAAGTCTGAAGTCATGTTGTTCCCTCCCAACGACACGATCACAAACTACTGTATCGACCTCTCCGCTCTAACCCTGTCAGAAAAACAAAGAGTCACTAATCTGGGAGTGATAATGGACTCTTCCCTGAAACTTAACAGTCACGTAAACATGATTGTTAAATCATGTTTCTTCCAACTAAGGCGGCTGTCTAAACTGAAGCCCATATTGTCCAAAAATAACCTGGAGACAGTAATGCATGCATTCATTACATCTAGGCTTGATTACTGCAGTTTGCTCCTGTTTGGTATTAGTCAGATCTCCATTGCACAACTTCAACTTGTCCAGAATGCAGCAGCCCGATTTTTAACCAGTACAGGCAAAAGAGAGCACATTACACCAGTTTTGGCCTCACTGCACTGGTTACTGGTTCACTTTCGAATCCAGTTATACTCCTGTATGTCTACAAATCACTGAACAGCCCCCCCCACCCCCCCATCTCTCTGATCTGCTACAACCGTATGTCCCACCACATTCCCTGAGGTCAGCGGACCAGTTGCTCCTCACAGTTCCAGGAACTCGTCTTAATTGCAGAGGGGACAGGGCCTTCTCTGTAGCAGGACCAAGACTTTGGAATGAGTTACCTCTGCTTGTCAGACAGGCCCCCTCCCTCTCGGTTTTCAAGTCCCGTTTAAAAACCCACTACTATTCTGTAGCTTTCAATACCAGATGATCTGTGTTTTGAACCTGTATGCTCCACACTGGTTAGTCGTCATTATCTGCATCGTTTTTATGTCCATATTTCTGATTTACTTCATTTTGTATTTTGCTTTGTGTGTTACCTGTTGTTCTGTCTGTACAGCACTTTGGTTGGCCTTGTCGCTGTTTTAAGTGCTCTATAAATAAAATGGTATGGTTTGGTAGTAAAAGTATGCAGTATACTGTGTACATGACCTTAGTAAAAGTATGCAGTATACTGTGTACATGACCTTA